GGCAGGTGGTGGTACCACTGAGCTAAATCCTGGTACCACTTAGCTAAATCCCGGCCCCTAAAAGTACACACTTTGAAACTCAGTTCTCAGCCAGCAGGATTTACTGGAAGTCACAGACTAGGTCATTCCTAAACCCTCAGTTTGTGTCACCTAGTATCTCTGTGACTTGGGCAAGTGATTAATTTATTTAGATTTGTTGGGAGATTAAATGAAATAATGTGCTGAAACCTTAGCTTATTCCCTAACAAAGAATAGACATCAACTAAATGTTAATTTCCTTTTCCTTCTTCCTTAGTAATTTGAATTCATGTTTTACTGAAGAAAAAAATAGAGGAAAGTGCCCTGGAGACAGTGTGTCACCTTAAATCTAAGAGCATGGGAGGGAAGGGAAGAGGAAAGAGAATTTCCACTTACTACCTCTCAAGCTGTCTTTCCAACTGGGAAAATCCCTCCCTTCCTGCTTTTGGTCAGGAATGTCACATCCATATGTATCCATTTTCTCAGCCCAGTGCCTTCAACCTACATCTGACAAATGCACAGAAGCACTCTTTGTCCTTTAAGCTATTCCAGAAGCTAAAACGACTTAGAACCAAGCTATTTATGTAAGACAGCAGGTAGCCGGGGCACCAGACAGAGGGAATCATTATCCAGGTCATGCCCATTTGCTAGTCACATCAAATCTGGTGGTTTCCAGGGGAATCGCCCTGAATCACATTAAAAATTTGAGGATTTGTAAAGGTAATAGGCCCAACTCCCTTTCCTCTTTGGGCAGTTCTGTTATGACTGATTTATGAATACCAGGCATTGTCCATGCCATTAAGCCCAGACATCAGGCAGTAAGAGATTAACATAGTGCAAGGTGACAAGCAATACAAAAATACATTTGTGTCCCAGCCCACTACAGAATAACTGGTTAGGGAGATTTGTGGCAGCTGAATGTCAAGCAGCAGTAATTAACTCATGTGTTTGTTATCACAGACAACCTGCGTATTGCTGCTTGACTGCTTGTAAGAAGAGGTTTATTTGGATTAAGTTTAGCAACCACAGAGCAAATTTCCTTCACTTGCTGTTCCTGAGAATTTGAGGCATTGTTTATTGTCCTGCTTTTCAGTAACTTTCTCACACTTACACATCCGAGGAATTTTTTTCAATAGCTCTGCAGTGTGCCCCAGCAGGGTACAACATTTCAGAGTAAAACAGGTCCTCGTGAAGAGTTAATGTCATATTCATTTCAGGCACACTCTGCTCCAAGTTTATAATAAAAATCACTCATCTGGCTGGAGAAGAGTTGTGATTAGTTACTGGTAGAAACAGTCCATCAGGAAAATTATTTGCCATTGTTTTCTGAAGCCAACTGTGAACACTGGATCAGAGGGGCTGTCGGGCCCTAACAGCCTACAAACAGTGCCACATTCAGTGGATGTCAGCTTATGTATGTTTATGCAAAGTCGCGCAGTGGATCCAGTTGGGGAACTTGTTGAGAGTGTGCCTCTGTTTTCCAACTTGTTCCCCCTGTGTTCACAGACTTAACGGCACTGCCGATGATGATTTTTTCTATTATTGCTATTACTTTGGCATTGTACTACTCTTACCTTTTAGTCTTAGAAAAGCCAATGAGAGGTAAATCAAAGTAAATTTGGGGGATTATTTTACTATAAAGGACTGTTGGAGAGACAGAAAGTAGATTAGTGGTTGCCTAGGGCTGGAAGGGGAGAAGGAAGGTTTTTTTCTGGGGAGGGAGTGATGAAAATGTTCTAAAATTGGATTGTGGTGGTGTTTACATAACATGGTGAGTGTACTTAAAGTTACTGAACTGTACGACTTCAAATGACTAAATTTTGTGGTATGTGAATTCTTTCTGAATAAAGCTGTTTAAAAGACTTTAGATGGAGAGAGATCAAACAGAAGTGCACTGCTTAGAACTAGTTCGAGATTACTTGTGCCAAACTTCAGCAAATCCAGGATTTTCATTTCCAGTCACCCAGAACAAACTGTGTTAGGAGCCACCACTATCCCTTGCTGTAGTCACCTCATCCTGTAAAGGGATCAGCAGCACTTGGGGATGGCCCTGTTGGGCCACATGCTCTCCCTTCATTTTGATGTGCAATGCCAGACCCTTGGCTCTGTTTTTCTGTGCTAAGCTAGATGTTTATTTGAGGTGATAGTAAGAACTGTGGCTGGAGATCAATGAGCAATTATTCATGCTTCACAATGTGTCTTTTGTGAGTCAGTGGAATGATTAAAAGTTAAGCTGCTTCAGACTAGGGATGAGATTTCTGGGCACTGATCATTTCTTTCTCATCATCTTTGGACAAATTGAATTTATGACTTGGATATGAGTAGGGTTTTATTTCCTTCCTTTTTATTATTGGTTTACTCTAGCAAATAAATAGTAATTTAGTGATTGCAAAACAGTGTCACAGATGGCATATGTATGAAAAATGACAAATTTGCAATTGCAAGTGTAAGTTGTAAGTTCACTTACCTATTAAAAATTACTAAAGTTTTTAAAAATGTGACAGTACCATGAAATTGGGGTTTAGACAAAAGAGCAATCTTATTGCTCCACTGCTAGTAGAAATATACCTGATAAATGTGTTCATTTGGTCTCAATAATTACATTTCTATTAACATCTCAAAGGACTAATCACAGTAGCCCATAAACAATGTTATTCAGGGTGTTGTAAATAGTGAACATGTAGAGAAAGACCAAAACAATTTAACTGTAATTAGACAATAGTACATTATGCCTTAAAATCATATTTTTTAAATCTTCAGCAAAATAGATTGCAATGATAAAGGCTTAAAGAAAAAAATAATTTTTTAGTGTGTGATTATATAAAAGTATAAACAGACACACTAGACAAGAAGTAGCCATAGCACTTCTGCTTGGTTGTAACTTTTGGGGTCTTGTTTGTTTGTTTGTTTTTTGAGACAGGGTCTTGCTGTGAAGTCCAGGCTGGCTTCAAACTCATAATCCTCCTGCCTCAGCCTCCCAAGTATGTGCACCACCACAGCCACCTAACTTCTGTTTTCTTACAGGAGAGTTATTATTGACAATGATTTTAGTCCAAAGGATTCCTTAAACTAGAATTCTCTTCTCTCACTTTGTAGAATTAGTTGCACTGAAAGACTTGACCGTGAGTGTTTAACACCGAATAGGGCAAATTCTGTTTATAGAACTTTTAATCCTTATAGTAGAGAACTATTGCCTCTGTGGCATGTTATTTTCACCCTTTTGTATTGTGACAATGAAGCAATGAAATGTTAAGAATAATGCATTAGCAGCAAGTAACAGAATTACCAGGAATTTCAAAAATATGAGTTCAGTCTTCTTTCATACAGCTAATGTAAAATTAGGTGACTGTTAGCACTGGGGTTTGCATAGCTCAAAACATCAGAGCCAAGATTTGTGTTCTTCCCCTATGGTTTCTCTCCTGTCTGCAGGATAGCCACTTCAGCTCCGTGAATTGCATCCTCTCTCATGGAAAGGAAGAAAGGACAGGGAGGGGCCATGTCAGCCTGAACAAGAGTTTTCCAAAGCTCACTGTGTACCATGCAGATGTTCACTCGCTGTGGGGAGGACAGGGCAAGGAGTGCAGTCAGCCCTTCTTACCCACGGGTTCTGCATCTGTGGATTCAACCAACTGCCAATTGAAACTAAAAAAACAAGGCAAAACAAATGTGTACTGAACAGAAAGACTGCTTTCTTGTCATTATTTCCTAAATAATAACAATACAGAACTCTTTCCATAGCATTTACATTGCATTAGGCATTATAAATAGTCGAGAGATGAGTCAAAATATACAGGAGGATGTGGGTAGGTTATATGCAAATACTACACTGTTTTATATAAGGGACTTAAGCATTCTTGTATTTCAGTACCTGTGAGTGTCCTGGAAGCAGACTCTTATTATCCAAGGAATGACTGTAGAGGGCTTTTGAACCTTACAGTGGGAGAGTTCATTGGCATGATGTGTTGGTAGTCACCACTGTGAGAACACATTCTTGTAATGGTTGGCACAATGTATATACATCAATTCATTCTTAAGCTTATGGAGGTACATGGAATTCCATCAAATATGAAATGTTCCCTTTATCTGGACTATCTCTATCAAATTCTATCTTAAGGGTTCACTAGATATACTGTCTATTGAACTTAACAAAATAATTAAGAGGAGCTTTGTAAACCTATGAAAATGCTGTGCCTCGACCTTCACATCCAGACTAGGACAATCAGAGTTAGTACAGAATGGCTGCTTCTTCGGCAAGATTGTTTTTCTCCACTCTGCTCAGCTTCTACGTGCCCTAAGATAACCACTGTCATACAGATCATCTCTTTGGAATTGTCTTTCCTACTCCTTCCCTCCCAGAAAAATAAACCAAGTTAGTTAATGAACGGAAAAACAAAAGTATTTAGTTTCCTAAGGAACAAGCCTAAATTTCAGTTTTGATGTCAAAAGCTACAGTTTGTTAGCTGTCTTTATCCTATGGGCAGGAGAGCATCAGGGTTTTTCCTACCTACTCTTATCCTCAAGTGCCATGATCTGATAATTAAATTGGCTCACTCTGTTGCTCTGGCCTTTTATTTGTGCAATACTGATAAGAGTTTAAATATAAAATTCTGTGTGCCCTTCAAAATATTAAAAACATCACACCAACCAAACAATGAATTTCTCAGTGGGTCTTGCCCTTTAAGTTTTAGGAATGAATTATAGTTGTTTTTTCCTTAAAATTATCTTCTCTTCCCCAACAATCAATAGCAGAGTTACCTTGGTGCCTCTGATGGGCGACAATGTAAATTCATTGGACAAGTGCCGTCTTTTTGAAGTTATGTGCTTATTTGATGGACTTGCATTGTCTCTTCCAGGGAAAACATATGATTTAGCAACCTGCCCAAGACTAGACATCATAGGAACAGCATCAGTGATAAAGTGGTAATGTGTATGTTATGTTAAAAATACTAATAACAGCCATCTGGGTGAGGCACACCTGTATTTCCTGTACTCAGAAGGCTGAGGCAGGAGGATCACTGTGAGTTCGAGACCAGCCTGGGCTACATAGTGATTTCCAGGTCAGTCTCAACTACATAGTGAGACCCTGTCTCAAAAAACAAAAACAATCAAACAAGTAATAACAATACAGCACATTACTAGCTTGAAATTTATCAACTATACAGTGAGACCCTGTCTCAAAAAACAAAAACAATCAAACAAGTAATAACAATACAGCACATTACTAGCTTGAAATTTTTATTTCTAATTTTCAGAATTTCAGTTTCCTTTATTGCAGAAATTTGAAAGTCAAAACATGTTAGCTAGTCAGCTACACATAATCAAAGACTATCAGCAGTAGCTACCATCAAAATGGAAGAACTGTGAGGATATGCTCCCACTCTCACCGTCCAAACTGGTTTTCATTCACCATATTCCTTCTTCCCTTATGCAGCTATGTTTGAGGGGGGAGGGACACAAGTCCTTAAAAGAAACTGTTTCTTTTTTTGTATTTTCAGAGTACCAAGCTGAAAGGCTATCAAAAAAGAGACGTGAGGCTCGGAGGCCTGGGTCCTGACTTTGAGTCCATCAGAGACAAAGTGAGTGAGATGCGCAGAAACAGTGCTTTCAGGCTTGAACTGGCCCATCTGCCCTTGAGCAAAACTATTCAGCGGTGCTCCCCCAAACCAAGCCCAATGCAGATGTCTCACAATGAACGGAGATCCTTGGAAATAGCCCAGCCACTCTTTTTACTGCAAAATAAAAATATTAGCCAGTGTTGTTTTAGGCACCACCCTTCAGTTATCTTTGAAGGTCTGCGTGGAAAAGTGGGACATGTGCGCCTGAGAAGGGGACGCGTATGTTTTGTGGGCATTGGTCTTTCCTGAAAGAGTAGTCTTGATAATTTTGAAGAGTGGCTGCAGAGAAGACACTTAGGCCTGAGTTCCCCAACCCCCAAGAAGTGCATCCACTTCTCTTTTCTCCTGTGAAAGGAGATCTTCATTTAATGTGTTTTAACTGCAGTTGCACTCAGGCATAAAAAGAGAGTATAGTTTAAAGTTGGAAGCAAAAATGAAAATAAATTGGGTAAATGCAACAAAGAAGGGGCTGAAGTGATTCGCCACTGTTAAGAGAGTACTGGGTGCGCTGTTTGCAGTGATGTCCTCATCACAGAGCAACTCGAGGAGAAATACTAACTTAACCAGTTCACTGCTGTCACCTTACACATGGTGATCCACTTCTCCTGGGCGGCTGACACAATGCCTGGCTCCCAGAAAGTAGTGTCACTGTAAACAGAGATCAGAGAGAGCTAGAAGGACCTGTGATTCATTATAACTTTGCTTCTCTGAACAGATGCAAAAGTTAAAACAGCAGAAAGAATATGCAAAACAAGTTAAAGAGTACAACATGAAGACACTCTCCAGTCCATCCAAACCACAACCAGCAAAAACTGAAAATAAACCAGTCATTCCTCGGCAGAAGGTAAGAAATTTTCATGAAGGCATTTTTAAAATCAGAATCAAAGGGAAATTCTCGTTACTTCTTAATTTTAAAATATTGCCCACATGTTTAGAACCTAGGAAATGTTTTAGTAACTGTCATTCCTCCAACTACCTGTCACCCACAGATATCCGTATAACCACAGCAAGCATACACAATGCCATAAAATTAGACTTTTTATTTTCTTGAAATTCATTATTTCCACATCATTTCTTCCAAGGACACTATTTTAAGTTTGCCACACATGAAAAGTAACTGGGAAGGTGATTTCTTAGAAGAAAATAGCAATCCTGATTGACTGTCAATTCACTCTCTATCATGAGTAGGTTTCAAGGAGATTAGTGCCTTGTTGTTTAATGTCAAAGAAAAGCCTTCCTTGTTTCTTTCAAGTTCATTCCCCTATGGTTTTTCCATAGAGATTGTAATACATGTTTTTCTCTAGCAAGGAGAAATGATTCCAAGAAATACCAAACGTTCTCCCACTCAGATGTCATCCAACTAAGGGCCGCGATGGAATAATGTGTGTACAATAGAGTCGCAGAGCTTTGCTGTGCAAGTCTCTGCCTCCATTGATCTAGACGACCCCAGTAAGGATATGGGATCCTTTGGTGCCTTCAGGGATGTGTACTTCATGTTCTCTTTCAGAGACCATCATATTTTCTATTTATTGCCTTTGTCCTATCGCTTCTCGGCCTTTTGGCTAAGATCAAGTGTATTGCCTTTGTCCTCAGACCTTCAGGACCTCAATTCTCTGATTGAGTTTCTGTGGTGCCACTTTTTCTTTTTTTCTCCAATCCATTATACTTCCATGAAAAGCTTCAAGACCACAAGTCTATAATTAGAAGCTCCTATAGATTTCACCTGTACACAATGAGATAATTGGGACTTTTTTCCTATGTTTTACAATTTGTCCCCTTCTAGGACCTAAATATGCTATCCTTTCTCATCTCAGCTGTAAGTAAACTCTTTATTTCCTTCTTTCTTTCTTTCTTTCTTTTTTTGGGGTGGGGGGCAGGGATTGAACTCATACACTTGCCAGGCAGGCACTGTGCTGCTGAGCTAAATCCCTGACCTAAGTAAACTCATTAAAATATAAAACTGATATAAAAAGATTTAGAAATAATACTAGGTGATCTCTTTCCTCCTCCTCCTCCTCCTTCTCCTGCTTCTTCTCTGTCTCTCTCTCCTCTCTCCCTCCCTCCATCTCTCCTTACCTCTATCCCTCTCTCCTGTGTGTGCATGTGTGTGTGTGTGTGTGTGTGTGTGTGTGTGTTTGTATGTGATGCTACAGATCAAACCTAGGGCCTTGCACATGCTAAGCAACCACTCTGCACTGAGCTACACCCCAGCCCTAGTAATTTCATTTTTATCATGCCTTTAAGAACTGATAAAAAAAATTCTCTAGGTTTCTATTGATGCACTAAACAAAAACAAAACAAAAAAAAAAAGAATTCAGCCTTTCATACTTTCTAGAGTTCTAAGAGTCTACAAACCAGAATGGTTAGTATAATAAAGGAGGCTCAATTTTACATCACCACAGTGATACCTTTTGTCTCAAAGTATGACATCCTCTTTGGGTAGCAAGTTCTATTAACTCCCTAGTAGAAGTTTGATTTTAATAAAGCTGCAAGAAAATAAGTATATCAAACACACAAGAAATCTGTTTTTTTAATATATGGTAAAATTTCAGTTTTATGAAGAAAATATCCACGAGATGCAACAGCTGTAAGCATCATTCTCCAAGTCTTTTCCTTTCTACAACATAGTGCTTTGTGGCTAAGTTAATAAAGCGGCAAGAAAATGTGTATATCAAACACATAAGAAATCTATTTTTAAATATGTGGCAAAATTTCACTTTTATGAAGAAAATAGCCAAGGGATACACAGCTGTATACATCGTTCCCCAAGTCTTTTCCTCCCTACAACATAGTGCTTTGTAGCTAATTTATTTTGCTTAAACTGGGTGTTACATTGCATTATTTGCACTTTCTGTTTGATCTCCATTTCTACTCATGTTGTAGCAATCGATGTCTCCATTTGTATTGTAAATAAACATACAGACTAGCTTTAAGGAATCTAGGGCTTGCTTTCTATTTTAAATAAAATTTTATCTCTGTTTCTAGGCTTTAGAATATTCCAAGACCATCCCCAAACCAAAACAATCAAATCTGACTGATCAAGCAACAAAGAAGAAAAAAAATCCAACCTTTAATGGGAAAGAAGAAAGTTTACCTGAAATCTCCCTACTAGAGATACTGCAGAGCAGACACGAGAGGGAAAGACAGGCTGTGGCTGCTTTCAAAGTTCTTCATATTGTCTAGATAGCACTCCAAGAACAGACATGCAGAAAAGAAACTCCAACCAACTTGTCTGCATTGTGAATGATAAGCTGGTACCGTCAGTCAAGCACTGTGCACAGGATTTAATAGAGGCTGTCAGACTATGGTGCCATTCTTCACCTTCTAGCAAGAAAATATTTTTAGTGACTTATTTTCAAATCAGTTAGAATTTTGGGCTGATAAATAACTAGAGAATAAAACCTTTAGTTTCTTATTGGGTCTTTTGATTTCTTAAACTATCTGTGCCTGTCTTTAGCAAACAAAATCCTTGAAGTTACCCAAAAATAAATATAAACACTTTAGATTCTCTTAAAATGAACTCAGCTGTACTCATCAGTGAATTTTGAGAACATTTCAAAAGTATTACTCAAATATCCAAGTTTACCAAAGGATTTGTTTGTAAAATTTAAAAAGATTAGGGCCAGGGATTTAGCTCAGTGGTTCCGGAGCCTGCCTCGCAAGCACGAGGGCCTGAGTTCGATCCCCGGTACCAAGAAAAAAAAAACAAGAATATAAAAAAGATTGAAGGTTCATGTAGATGTATCTACTAAAATAGAACAAATCCCATTATCATTCACAGTGTCAAAATATAGTTATAAATCCCCAACAAGTTCAGAAATGCCCAATTTAGGCAACTCTGAGAAATACACTCTATCAAAGACAACTATACAAATTTACTAGGCATCTTACCATCACAAATATTTTAAAATGTTGTCAAATGTAAGCTTGCACACAAAAAGTAATATTAGATAAAGCAGAAGTATTCTACAGTTTACCACTGAATTTGATATTAATAAATATCTCATTTTTATCTTTTGATGCATCATAAAAATTCCCAGTCTTGAAATAACTACTAAATATACTTAATTTTCTACTTCCTTCACTATATTTGGTGGGCATTGCATTCTTAGGTGAATATATCCAGAAATGTATAATTTTAACGCCAATTTATGGCAGATCTGTTTACCCAGCTTTGAAAATTCAAAATTCTATGTTGTATATTTTACATATATAATGATATATAATATAAAGGCTGTCTATAGTAACTTTCTTTTGAAACTAGAAGCAGTTTAGAATTGAGAGTGGGAAAATAACAAATAACTGAAGATTACAAGAAAACTGGTAAATCATGCTTCAGTGGTTTTTGGAAAATAATATATGAGGAGTTAGTACCACAAAATCACAACCCAAACTACTTTAAAATGTATTTTTGTCAGAGGTTCCTTCAGGATACATGGTGAAAACATTTCTAGAAACATTGATTTTTTTTTTTCCTAGATGGCTTTAAATTTAACTGTGGAAGATCAAAAGAATGCATATAGAGACATTCCCATATTTTTATACTTAAACTGAGTAAAATTTAAAAATGTTTCATTTCTATTAGAGTAAAAGAATTTAAAGCTTGAAAAAAATTTATCTTGTTCAACTGCCAACTTTTCAATAGAGAAAATAGGGGCCAAGGAAAGGTAAGTGACTCTCACGTCCTTCTGTTCTGCTCAGGGGAATGGGAGAGTAGCCAAGTCTCAATCTCCAGTCTCTCCACACCCAGAACAGTGCTGTTGGGTTCTTTGTCTGTAGAAAGAGGATGTTTGTGTTTCTCAGTGAGGGCAAGGAGCACATAGTTGCTATGAATTTCAAACTGGGCCTGAATTTCCTTAAGTTCAGTTTTTAGAACTATGCCTTACTGTGTACCTGATGATTTTTTAAATGTATAATCTGGCAAATTTTCTTATCAACATTGGTAAAGTTGTAATACACATAGAAAGCAACTCAAACTTTGATGCTGACTAAGACATTTGAAACATTTCTAAAACTTTCCATCACCATTTTTCTGATAGTTTGCCCTTGGGCCCATGGTTAAATCCTTCCAACATTTTATATATCTTGTCAAAACCAACACTTAGCTGAAGCAGGTCAAGTGATTTAGTTAATGTCAAACCACACTTTTGCAAGCTCTTTGTCCCCAAAGCCAGTTTTCACCAATCCAAAACAGAAGACTACTGAACTTCAGAATTCTTTTTTTTTTTTTTTTTTTTTTTTTTTTTTT